GACCACCACACCAGCAGTTGATAGACCACCACACCAGCAGTTGATAGACCACCACACCAGCAGTTGATGGACCACCACACCAGCAGTTGATGGACCACCACACCAGCAGTGGATAGACCACCACACCAGCAGTTGATAGACCACCACACCAGCAGTTGATGGACCACCACACCAGCAGTTGATGGACCACCACACCAGCAGTTGATGGACCACCACACCAGCAGTTGATAGACCACCACACCAGCAGTTGATGGACCACCACACCAGCAGTTGATGGACCACCACACCAGCAGTTGATGGACCACCACACCAGCAGTTGATGGACCACCACACCAGCAGTTGATAGACCTCACACCTCCAACAAAATATTAAAAGCGGAAAGGCTTATGTTTTATGTTTAATTACTTTTAAGTGGGATTATTTTTTAACACTGATCGTGTTTCCTAAGTAATACTATAATTAATGTGTTTGTAATGGAATTCATATGAAGTTATATGAAGTTGTGAAGTAGGGCAGTTATTAAAGTTTTAAGATTTTATTTTGTTTTTCATGGTAATTATTGGATTGAGTTTTCATGGTGATAAAATTAACCAAGCCCATCGTTGTATCCATTGTGATAATCATCTAGCCTGATTATTAAGTCTGTATAATGTTAGGAACTTGCATATATATACTTTATCTGATGTGTTTGGAATTAGATGAGTGTTGGTTTGGACCTATTCCAGCCGTCTGAGGTACAGAAAATAGCAAATTTGTAAGAGGAAACAGTTTTTGGTGACTGCTGTTTGGAGACCTTATTGTGTTTACTTGTAACCTAGCTTGTTATTTATTTTATGTCAATGTTCAAGGTAGAGGTAAATTTGACTAGAGTATTGTGGTGTTTACACAACTAGTGAGAAGGTATGGTTTAACCATACATGTCTTCTGTATGGTATGAAGAAATAGTTTTATAATGGTTACAGTGTACCTTACCTGCTATGTTTCGTTGTTACCTCTAGATAACATAATACAAAAGTAAGATGTTTTACCTATAGTAATGTCATAGTGAAGTGAAGCTGTGACTGAACGTGTCAACCCACTCCAAGCTGTTGTATCATAGTCTTGTGTTATATTTACACAAGTTCAATAATTATACTTTGTTGAACCTTAATTCATTAAAGCAAAACGTAATTATAAAGTAAAAAAGCTAGGCATTTCCGAGATATGAATGTGTTAAAGAGTGACCAAGATTGTAAAAGTGTTCCTGCATGTCAACACAAGTCTGAAAAATATATACACATAAACACAGTAAATTATAATGATTTTTGTAACCTTCTTAGAAAACATTGTAATACTTTTGCAATACCTAGGTAAACCATTTTTGGCTTCGCACCAGGATGCTCACACGGAAGCTGTGAAGCTTTACAAACATAGTTACTGCCCTGCCATCAGTAGGCAAGATAGGAGACGTGATCCTAGTTATTCAGTTGAGTCCATCAAGACATAGCGGCTGTGTAAATCTTATCTATCATAGGTTTTGTGATGTCATATCCGGCCATGACTAAAGCAGAGGTAAAGCTTATGCTTAGAAAACAAAGTCTGAAGGATATTTTTTAGTAGGCTAGGATCTGAGCATAGTTATAAAACTACACGGTCAGTATGTTAGCTTATATAAAAAAAAATTGGATACAAGCGTTTGATCTTAGTAATGTTAGAGGATTTTCTCACAAGTAATTTCCTTAAGGGAAGGCCCAGAATCCTATTTACAAGTAGTTAGGAGATAATATGCGTGTGGCTTTGTTAAAGTCACATATATACATTGTATATATATATATATATATATATATATATATATATATATATATATATATATATATATATATATATATATATATATATATATATACTAGGGAAGGGAGTACCACCTCTGTACTGTATAATGGTCTGTATAATGTTAGGAACTTGCATATATATACTTTATCTGATGTGTTTGGAATTAGATGAGTGTTGGTTTGGACCTATTCCAGGCTGTACTGTATACAGACTAGGGAAGGGAGTACCACCCAGTATATATATATATATATATATTATATATATATATATATATATATATATATATATATATATATATATATATATTAGTATATTTTGGTAGCAGTCTTTCCTGTAGACATATATTATTAAATATGACCGAAAAAGTAAGATTAATAATTCTAACACGAATTTTCTCTATCTTTCGTACATTTCTTTTCACTGTTGGTGGTAATTCAAAAATCAATTCTCCAAAATTCATTTTTATTTCTAGTCTGACGCGACACTTGAGCGCGTTTCGTAAAACTTATTACATTTTCAAAGACTTTAGTTTACTCATACACAACTGAATAGAACTTACACATCTCCGATTTGTTTATATCTACATTTGAGTGAGGTGGATGGGGTGAGGTGGCATTAATAGGGTATTAATTTCATCAACACAAGACAGAACACGAAACAATGGGTATTGAATGGAAGTGATTGTAGAAAGCCTATTGGTCCATATTTCTTGATGCTTCTATATTGGAGCGGAGTCTTGAGGTGGGTAGAATATAGTTGTGCATTAATTGGCTGTTGATTGCTGGTGTTGATTTTTTAATGTGTAGTGCCTCGCAAACGTCAAGCCGCCTGCTATCGCTGTATCTATCGATGATTTCTGTGTTGTTTACTAGGATTTCTCTGGCGATGGTTTGGTTGTGGGAAGAGATTATATGTTCCTTTATGGAGCCCTGTTGTTTATGCATCGTTAAACGCCTAGAAAGAGATGTTGTTGTCTTGCCTATATACTGGGTTTTTTGGAGCTTACAGTCCCCAAGTGGGCATTTGAAGGCATAGACGACGTTGGTCTCTTTTAAAGCGTTCTGCTTTGTGTCTGGAGAGTTTCTCATGAGTAGTTTGGCCGTTTTTCTGGTTTTATAGTAAATCGTCAGTTGTATCCTCTGATTTTTGTCTGTAGGGATAACGTTTCTATTAACAATATCTTTCAGGACCCTTTCCTCTGTTTTATGAGCTGTGGAAAAGAAGTTCCTGTAAAATAGTCTAATAGGGGGTATAGGTGTTGTGTTAGTTGTCTCTTCAGAGGTTGCATGGCGTTTCACTTTCCTTCTTATGATGTCTTCGACGAAACCATTGGAGAAGCCGTTGTTGACTAGGACCTGCCTTACCCTACAGAGTTCTTCGTCGACTTGCTTCCATTCTGAGCTGTGGCTGAGAGCACGGTCAACATATGCGTTAACAACACTCCTTTTGTACCTGTCTGGGCAGTCGCTGTTGGCATTTAGGCACATTCCTATGTAACATAGGAATCTAAATTCTAAAGATCTAAATTTTATATTTGCGTAAGTTTTCGGGTGATAGCCTACTAATAATTGTTCTATTTCCATGTCTGTGTATGTCAGAGACCTTGAGCCTCTACTCTGGGGTCCGCAGATGTTGGCACCCGAGTGCACTGGTTGTGACGGCCACGTGGCCCTCGAGGCACTTGGCGCCTCCTGGTTGGAATCTGCGACTCTTGTCCCAGACCTTGACCAGGACGGATGTGCATTGCAAGAGGCAAGTTTACGGAAATGAGGCCTTAGAAGCCCCCAAAGGCCCCCCCCCCCCCCGCCTTTGGGGCTTTACAAGAATGTACCTGTACCCGAACTTGTACATATACATAATTAAGTTGTAGCTGTCGCCTGAACCAATAGGAATGTCTGGTTGTTACATTCAATATGTTTAAACTATACTTTGTAGTAAATATAAATAAATATTGATATGTATAGGGTCCCGATAGTCAACCCTTCGACTCAAGTTCATTACATCCCCACAGACGTGTTCATAAACTTTTACATGCTGCTCATTCAAAAAGGGAATTTTCTCAAATATAAATTAATATTATAATATATTAGCATATTGTGCATATATAGGCATAGGTTAGGTTAGGTGTTTAGGTTCTGTTGGCGATTATTTGTATTTGTAGTACGTGGGTGAAGCATTTATTGCGTTGTGTCTCGAACAAAATTCGTCAGTGAAGCACCTGTTCCGGAAGTGTTCTAACGAAATCAGTTGTCAGTCGTGTGTAAACCGGTTTTCATTCATAAACAAGAGGTTTGGCGGGTGCATGGAATGGACTTTGGCCTTTGTTTATGAGGACGGGCTGAAGGAAATGTGCCCAACTATCTTTGTCCCGCCCGGGATTCGAAACTGGAATTCTCGATTGTGGGTCGAAAACGAACCAGACTGTACTACCGGCAGCCCGGCCTCCAAACAAAGACCCAAAAGTGATTTCATACACCCGCCAAACTCCCTGTTTATAAATGAAAAATGGTTTACACATGACTCGCAACTGTTGACGTTCCAATAATTCCAGAACAAGTGCTTCACTGACGAATTTTGTTCGAACCACAACGCTATAAATGCTTCACCCACGTCCTACAAATACAAATAATCGCAAACAGAACCTAAACACCTAACCTAACCTATGACTATATATGCACAATATGTTAATATATTATAATATTAATTTTTATTTGAGAAAATTCTAGTTTTGAATGAACAGCATGTAAAAGTTTATGAATGCGTCTGGGGGTCGATCGCTGGATGTAATGGACTTGAGTCGAAGACGGGTTGATAAATGCTTCTCCCGCGTACTTCAAATGCAAATAATCGCCAACAAAATCTAAACACCTAACCGAACCTACGCCTAACTATATACAGAATTTTTATGTATAATAATGTTAATTTATATATAAGAACAAACCAATTTGTAATACACAGTATGTTAAAACTGATGAATGCGTCTGGGGAGGACGGCCGCTGCTTTAAACAGCCTAGTGTGAGGACGAGTTGCCCCAGACACAATTATTGTTAAAATGAAGAGAAAACGTAGTGAGGGTGCTGCCACCTGTTGAGAGACAGAGGCAGTAATGGACAGGGCGAGTGATTGTGACTGTCAACTTTCGGTAGACAGTTAGTGATAATCTGAACTTTCCGTTCTTGGTGTGACGTCACACTCGACCCGAAGAGCAAAACTTGGCCTAATTATCAGTTGAGGAACCACGAGTGTGGCCAGCACCGGTCTCTGTGTAGCCTCCGCCTTCTCCATACTCTCTTATTTCACTCCAGCAGGATGGTGAGTCTTGTGTTAATGGTGTGATCGTATTGGGGCTTCTCTGGTGTCTCTGCTGTTGCTTGCTTTTTTTTCCTTTTTAAACTTATAATTTACTTGCTATTTTAGTTGAATATTCGGCTGAATGGGTTAGCTAGGTTTAAATTATAGTTAATGGGCTTTGACCTAATGAGGGGGTAATTAAGGAATTACTCTATAGGGGCACTAAAGTATGGAACAAATATTTATCCTTTGTAATCTTCATTAGAGCTTTACTAGGCTTTAGGTAACATTTTGTTTTTCTTGGATTTTAATTTTGACGCACTGGAAATTGTAGTCTTAAAGTTGATTTTCAAAACGCAATAGATATTTTGAGAATCTGTGAACAATCGCAAGTAATCGGCAAAGCTGAATTTGTGCCGATTAATAAAACTATAATATGTTTTATGAAGCTTAATGGCAATTGAATGTAAAATTATATTTATCTCTGGAAACTATCTGGCTAATTTACTTGGCAAAAAAACTAATAGGCAGCTTCGTCCGGTAATGGTACTCGATTATTTGAACTCCCAACGTACAGTCGGACAATAATCGCAGCAATAGTCTAATCTAATAATGGAAGCTTATCTGAGCGAGAAGCCAAACAGAGTTCTAGACCCCAACCACACTACTTCTCAAACCACCTGGATAATTGTCTTGTGATGGTTAACCAATATGCTTTCAAACTAAGTGTAATTGTGAACTGAGAAGGGAGCTTTAGTTTTAATCGCAGACGTTAAAATATAATCCCTGTATTAATCTTATAAGAACTATTATGAATACCCATGGCAAAGTAGCAAGACGCTCGCCTGGCGTTTCCCAAGCGCTTTAGCCTGGGTTCGTATCCTGGCCGGGGAGAATTGACTGGGTGCCAATCATTAACTGTAGCCTCTTGTGTGAACAGAAGCTACAGTTAAGGATTGGGACCCAAAGTCAATCCTCCCTGGCCAGGATACGAACCCAGGCCAAAACACTAGAGAATCGCCAGGCGAGTCTTAAGTCACGGACTGCTAATATTACTAACACTACTCTGCTAACATTACTTGGACTCGCATTCGAAAGTCCAGTTCGATAAAGCTCGTGGCGCTGTTTCCTAAAATAGGAAGAACCTATTCTGAATCATTGTAATAGTTCATTTACGATGTAATGCTATTGTGGATTCTCATGTGCTCAAAACTTATCACTTGTCTGCAAAGCCAAATGATCACTGTCAGAAGTCCAAATTCTTAATTTTGCAAGCCTAGGCTGCAAGATGATGCTAATCTCTGCCCGTAGCGTGAGTGCATCTCTATCCACGTGGGCCAGGCTGGGGTGCAGATGGGCAACTCTTGCTGGGAACTGTACTGCTTGGAGCACGGCATCCAGCCTGACGGACAGATGCCCTCTGACAAGGCTGCTGGCGGTACAGACGACTCCTTCAATACCTTCTTCAGTGAAATAGGCTCTGGCAAACATGTGCCTAGGGCAGTAATGGTTGACCTCGAACCTTCGGTAATTGGTGAGTATAAGATATAACTTAAGTTTTGTCCACAAACCTTGGATGAGATTTGTGGCAGTTCCTCCAGGACTGTAGCGCCTATGTTCTCTATCTTGAATGTTGCTGTTAATTTGCTAATGATAGTCTGGGTTTGTGCCGCCTTTCGATAATTACTATTGGTACTTTTTTAAATCTTATATTCGTGCACTGAAATGGGTAATGACCAATGGAGTAACTATCCTATTGTGAAAGTTATTTTTCCTCCTTAATGTCCGACACTTTAGCATCTGCCACTGTTAAAATAGTTTTGCTGGTGGCCCCGATAATGGTGAACCTAAATAACCTAAAGTGAGCTGCTTCCAGAAAACGGTAACGGTATAAAAATAGACTAGGTCTCAAATTGTTAAATGCCTAGCAAATTCGTTAATTTGCTGAACGTAGTCCTAAGAAATCTAAAATCCTGAAATTTCTGATAGTTTTGCTTTGACAAAATAGTGTTCACGGCTCGGCCGAGTACTGTATGTAATCCTGGTAAATGCCTTTTAACATTGACATGTAAAGATTCTTTTCATGCACTCGCTACAGTGAATAAGTGTAAAATACTTTAGTTATATTATAGGATTGTACTGTCCTTATCGTCCAGTAACTTCGCCTTATTCTCAGCCTTTAAGTTGCTTCTACACTCGGAAATTGACTAGAGCAGCTTTAACTTAAACCCTCTTTAAATGTTTAGTATTTAAAGATCATAAATTCTACTTTCCACTGCACTTCATGAATGTTCCACGATGTTACCTTTACTTCTCTTTGTCCTCGTATGGCATCCTGAAGTGTCCAGGCGATCTTCAACCCGCATAACGTAAATGAATCTAAATAGTTTCTGGCTTGGTTTACTTGTGAATTACAAACTTAGATATTCCAAATAGTCGTATTGCATTGGCAGAATTGAATATTAGTGAACTGGCCTAGTCCCTTAAAGAGAATTTAAATTGTAGAAAGACTATTAAGTGATGCTTTAAAATAGTTGATACACTCCCGTCAGATTTACCATTGTTTTCTGTTGCAGATGAAATCCGGGCGGGCAAGTACCGGCAGCTGTTCCACCCAGAACAACTCATCAACGGGAAGGAGGACGCGGCTAACAACTATGCTCGTGGTCGCTACACCATCGGAAAGGAGATTGTCGACATGGTCCTCGACCGGACCAGGAAGCTGGCAGACAACTGCACGGGTCTACAAGGCTTCCTAATCTTCCACTCGTTTGGTGGTGGGACTGGGTCAGGCTTCACGTCTCTTCTGATGGAACGACTTTCTGTTGACTATGGGAAGAAAAGCAAGTTAGAATTTGCCATATACCCGGCTCCACAAGTTGCCACGGCGGTTGTTGAACCATACAACTCTATATTGACCACCCATACTACTCTGGAACACTCGGACTGTGCCTTCATGGTCGACAATGAAGCGATCTATGACATCTGTCACAAGAATCTTGACATCGAGCGACCAACCTATTCGAACTTGAACAGGTTAATAGGCCAAATAGTTTCGTCAATTACGGCTTCTCTCCGCTTTGATGGTGCTCTAAACGTTGATCTTACAGAGTTCCAGACTAACCTGGTCCCTTACCCAAGGATACACTTCCCCTTGGTAACCTATGCACCAGTCATTTCTGCAGAAAAGGCTAACCATGAACAGTTATCCGTATCGGAAATCACTAATGCTTGCTTTGAACCTGCAAACCAGATGGTAAAATGTGACCCTCGTCATGGTAAATACATGGCGTGTTGTCTGCTCTACCGCGGGGATGTAGTGCCCAAGGATGTTAATGCAGCAATTGCAGTTATAAAGACAAAGCGAACTATTCAGTTCGTAGATTGGTGCCCAACTGGCTTCAAGGTTGGCATAAACTACCAGCCGCCTACCGTAGTTCCTGGTGGGGACTTGGCGAAAGTTTCTCGTGCAGTTTGCATGCTGTCAAACACCACGGCGATTGCAGAGGCTTGGGCACGCCTAAACCACAAGTTTGACCTCATGTATGCCAAGAGGGCCTTTGTACACTGGTATGTTGGCGAGGGCATGGAAGAGGGAGAGTTTACTGAAGCACGTGAAGATCTTGCTGCTCTAGAGAAAGATTATGAAGAGGTCGGTACAGACTCCACTGATGTAGAGGCTGAAGAAGGAAATGAGTACTAGTATTGTTCCAGTCTTTTCTAATTTATGTGTGAATCTTTGTAATCCTTATTTATTTAAAATTTGAAAGAAAGTATTGTTATAATAGGGTAGTTTCTTTCATAGCATGTGAAAGAAATATAAATTTCTTTTGTAAATAAAAGTGCTACTGTTTAAGTTTGTCAGAGGCTGTTGCTAGCCTACTTATAGAAAAGACGGTGCTACATAGCCTTCCCGGTTTGGTGCCTTCTTTAGATAATTACTAGCTTGCTTATAGAAAAAAAACTACTAAATTTTACTTGGCAAGTAATCAAATCACTTTAGATAAAAAATACAGAGTGTCGGTAGAAATCAAAGTTCCTCGGCTTATACATAGACAAGATGCTTAACTTCAGCACCCACATAAAACACATCGCAAACAGTCGGTATACTTTCTGAAAGTAGATGGTTCCCGCTGATCTCCTCTGACTATACTACGCGCTAGTCTATCCCTATCTTACATAAGGTATCTGTGCATGTGGTTTAACCACTGCAAATTGCCTGAAGCCTATCATTCGGTAAAAATCTGCAATTGGAACTAATAATCTTCAGAGAACATACAGACACTGTTTAAACTCCCTTAATATAAACATACTCGCTCCACACTCGTGTGCTAGTCACATGTACAAAACAATGTTCCTAAACGGTAATCTTTATCTGAAACTTTTCCTTGATAGGTGTAATAGAACCTATGAGCACCACACAAGAAATAAATATATCCAGAGTCTGTCTAAATCTGTGCAAACACAATATATGCAAATTAGTGCCCAGTCTTTGGAACTCCGTTCTTGATGAATTAAAAAAATTATCCAACCCATACTCCGTCCGAAAGCGAAACCAAAAAGTACCTAATTTCATCCTCTGGCTCTCATCTTCCTTAATCTTTACTTCTTTGTAAATCTGTTTTTGAATCTCTTCCTTTAGACTTCTACACCCATCTCGGACTCCTCCCCCCCCCCCCCACCCGTTCGTATGTATGTGTGTGTGTGAGAACTTCGGTCTGTCCTGGCCACCTACAGCGGCGGGCTCGGATGACATTCATTACGAGAGGCTTCGCCATCTCCCTCCGTGCATGATTCGGTATTTACTCGGTCTGAATAATCGGGTCTGGGAGTCGTCGTCAGTCCCTGAGTACTGGCTCGATGCCGTTGTCCTCCCTGTTCGGAAAACCAGGGTCTCGGTCATCCCTTAAGGACTTCCGCCCTGTTTTCCTAAAGAATTGTCTGCAAACTTTTTGAATGTATTGTTACCGTTCGTCTGTGGTTCTTGGAACACTATCATCACCTTTACCCTTCTCAATTTGGTTTCCGCAAGTGCCGCAGGACAATAGATGTCCTGGTGAACTTGATCTATATTTGTACTGCTTTTGCTGCGAAGACCTCCGTTGTTGCCGTCCTTTTTTGACCTGGAAAAGGCTTAAGACATTACCTGGCGATATCACAGTCCCAACTTTGTTTTGGTCTTCCTGGTAATCTCTGAAAAGCTTCCTCTCCCGTTCCTTTCAAGTGAGACTTGGTGCCACTCCGCCTCTTTTCAGCAATACGAGGGTGTGCCCCAAGGTAGTGTTCTGAGCACTTATATTTTATTTTTCTGGTTGCCCTCAATGGTCTTTTCCTTTTTCTGCTGGCGCCTTCTCCGCTCTGTCGATCTTACCCTTTGCTGTCGGTGATGATTCGCCTTTCCTTCAACGGCGGCTTAAGCTTGTGATTGATGCCGTGTTGTCTTGGGCCACCGATCATTGCTTAAAGTTCTTTACGTCAAAGACTTGTGCTATGACTTTTACTCGGAAGCGTGTCGTTCTTCGTCCCTCTGTCGCTTTATGATCCCGTTGTGTACAAAGATTCTGCTAAGCTTATGGGGTTCATCTTTAACACTAGTTTGTCTTGGTCGCTCCATATCTCTTGCTTCAGAGTTGAATGCTCTAAGGCCCTTACTCTCCTTAAGGTTGTCCCATACTTCTTGGGGAGCGGATAGGGGTGCACTCCTCGCTTTACATTCCTCTCGTCCTGGCTAAACTCTGGTTGCCCTGCTTACTCGTCTGCTTCTTCTACTCTTCGCAGTGTTGCTTTGCACCATACTGGGTTGGCCCCTCGGCTCTGGTGCCTTTCGTTCGACTCCCGCCCTCAGCTTGTATGTTGACACTGGCTTTCTCTCTCCAGGACCGCCGTGATCGCTGTCTTCGGTATCTTGCAACATCCTTCCTCTCGCCTCTGTCGTGCTTTTAACTTTTACCCCCTCCTATGGTTCCTGTTCCTCACCACCACTTTCCTTTGTTCGTTTACATGATTCTTTCGGTTCGTATTTCTAATATTTCTTGTATTGTTCCTTCCTTGGCCCAATGGAGTCCCCCCCCCCTTCCGAAGTTGTGTACATCCTTGACCCACATCACTAAAGCGCTTGCCCCTCCTACAGTTCTCGAATGCCTTTTCCTTGAGCACTTCTTCACACTCCCGCTCCATTCCCATCTTCACCGATGGGTCTGCGGACGGTGTAGGCTACTCTTGTTTTCCTGACTGCACTTGTGTATCGGCCTACCTCTCGTAGTACTGGGTAAGACTTAAGGAATACCTTTAGGAGAGATGGGACAAGAGCGGACAGCTTCCCTAGCGGCAGCATCCGCACGATCATTTAAAGACACCAATATGGCTGGAAACCCAGCAAAACTACTTTAATTTACTGGAAATAAACAGCCAATGCTGAATCTTTACAACCACTGGATGGACCGGATTAAAGGACCTGAGAGCCGTGAGGGCACTAAGAGTCGACGACAACTACAAAGGAAGATTGACAACGAGAGAGCAAGAGATAAAGAGCAGAATATAATAGTTCTGCTGTGAAGGTGCTAGTCTCCGGAGGTAGGCGACACAAGTGCTGTCAGGAAAAAGTAGCCAACGCCGTCCGCAGACTTAGACCCATGGTGAAGATGGAAACGGAGTCGGTGCAAAGAAATGCTCAAAGATTAAGTTGGCCAAGCTGGTAGCTGCACCCCAAGAAGCAGCAGCGACACGTGTACCGAGAATCTACTGAATCAACAAGGTGTGTATGGATGGAAAAATCGTCAGTAGAAGAATCTCAATGATGGAGGTCAAAGTAAAGTATTTAGTCCACGTAGCAGGACTAAAGGCATGGTATGAATCGGTACGGGGAGCGTGAAAGAGCGGCCATGGCGGGGACGGCGGGAGACCCTCTAGAGGAAGGGATCACAAGGCGCGGTAGTCGAGAGATGGAACCGTGCACAGGGACGAGGCGGTCACCACAGAGGGCTTGAGGCTCGATCAGACCATAGAGGAGGGGAAGGGAGCTGGTAGTAGTAGTCCGGTCCGTGTAACGGGGGCTACAGAGTCCGGTCTTCCAGCACAGTCCGACTCAGGCCTGGTCACCCCCCCCCCCCCCCCCCATGATCCTGGGCAAGAGAAATCGTGTCATCAATGCATCAGTCTAAAAGTTTGGGGCCGGGAACCAAGGTATACCAGTGCAGGAAGGGTGCGTCGTCCCCAGCGGTGCTCCCACTTTTCAACAGGAGAGAGTCCTACTCCATCGTTCATTCTCCCACTGTTGCCAAGACCCCATTCCCCCTAGCCTGGACACCCAGCCATCCACTCAGGGCGGCCCCTCCAGCGGGTGGTCCGATGGCTCACAAGGCCCCTACATGGTACCTTCCTGAACGTATACCACCCAAAAAGGGGGAAGAAGAGGGCACCGAGGCCACCTTCACTGGTCCCAGGGAGGTGTACGCGAGCCCCTCACCGCGTCAAGGCGACACCACGGAGGTGCATTCATTATTTAGCAATTTTATGTTTAAGGCATTAGTGTGGGGAAAATCTGCAGGCGATTTGTTTTTTTTTTGTAGTTCAAAACCTTAAATTTACTCACCGGGTGACTGAAGTAATTAGTTTGTGGTCAAGGATTTCCTTTGCAAATTATCAGCATCTTTACGAACCTTAACTTAAAACAGAACTTTTATTCACAAAACTTAACTCTAGTTTTATCATCTTTCATTAGAATTTGAATCCATTATAACTAATAAATGTGTATTCACAAACGCTATTACAATGATTCGCACCTATTAGTGTGGAGACTGGGAAGACGTTAATATTCTATTCCGTCTTCAGCCTCTGCGGAGTCTGTACCGACCTCTTCACAATCTTTAAACGTTAAACAATCTTATTAAAACGTTAATAAGATGAACGTTTAGGAACATGGTTTTGTACATGTGACTAGCACACGAGTGTGGAGCGAGTATGTTTATACTTGAAACGGTGGCTGTACGTTCTCTGAAGAGTATTAGTTCCAATTGCAGATTTTTACCCAATGATAGGCTTTAGGTAATTTGCAGTGGTTGAACCACATGCACAGATACCTTAAGTAAGTAATTATCAATAGAAGGCACCAAACCGGGAAGGCTATGTAGCACCATACCTTATGTAAGATAGGGATAGACTAGCACATAGTATAATCAGAAGAGATCAGAGCGGGGCACAACATCTGGTTGATACCTGGTTGATCTACTTTCAGAAAGTATACCGACTGTTTGTGATGCGTTATGTGGGGTGCTAAAGTTAAGCGATTTTACGTATAGGCCAAGGAACTTCCCCTCATTTCTACTGACAATGTTAATGTTTTTTTTTATCTGAAGTTTAATCCGATTTGATTTACTAAAGTAAAATTTAGGTCTTTTTATAAGTAGGCTAGCAACAGCCTCTGACAAACTTAAACAGTAGCACTTTTATTTACAAGATAAATTTATATTTCTTTCAGATGCTATGAAAGAAACTACCATATTACACCAATAACAAGAATTGCTTTGTAATTTTAAAGAAAGATGGCAAAGATTCACACACACAGAAAAGACTGGAACGATACTAGTACTCATTTCCTTCTTCAGCCTCTGCATCAGTGGAGTCTGTACCGACCTCTTCATAATCTTTCTCTAGAGCAGCAAGATCTTCACGTGCTTCAGTAAACTCGCCCTCTTCCATGCCCTCGCCAACATACCAGTGTACAAAGGCCCTCTTGGCATACATGAGGTCAAACTTGTGGTTTAGGCGTGCCCAAGCCTCTGCAATCGCCGTGGTGTTTGACAGCATGCAAACTGCACGAGAAACTTTCGCCAAGTCCCCACCAGGAACCACGGTAGGCGGCT